TTCCCTAATCCAATGAAGTGAGATGACAAGGAATTAATACGTGAAGAAATCCTTAAAATATTTGATTATCCATAAAATGTTTGAATCTTTTAGTAAAAGGAAATGTTCAATCGAATAACCGAATCGATCGGCGATTTAGGAGGGAAATCATGGGATGTCGATACCTTGAGGGGGATATGAAGATAAGTGATTGATATGACTATGTGATAAATATTAGGGAAAATTGCTAAATTGAACTAAATTAGAAAAAAAATTAAACTAAACTATAATAAATAGTTTACCAAACTGAATTGAACTAAAATAAATATTGATTAAATTAAATTAAATTATTATCTAGTTTAGTGCACTATAGTTCAAAGAGTTTGAACTAAACTATAATATTAATTAAATTATACTATTATTAACTATAAACTAAATTGAACTAAATTAAAGAAAAAATTAAAATCAACATTTTTAAATTTATCATTTTAAGTCTTGTTGTTAGTTTAATGTTTAAATGATTGTCAAAATAAAAAATATATTAATTAAGATAATAGAGATAAAAAATTAAGATAATTAAAATAACAAGTTATATTTTAAACTAAGATGATTAGATTATGTTAAATGTATAATTTAATTAAGTAATGTATTTTTAATTTATATAAATAAGATAATCACATGTGATTTACTTCTATAACTTATTTTAACATTTAAATGTTATGAAAAATATATTTTATTTTATTATTTTAATATTTTTCATACTTTTCAATTCACTATTTTTTTAAATTACTTAGATTTTATAATTTTTAAAATATATTAATTTTGTGAAATTTTAAAAAAGTTATATTATAATCCGTCAAAAGACTCAAAACTAATAAAATGGAATGTAAAAATAGCATTAAAATTAATATTAAAAATTAATTATAATTTAAATTATAATATTTAAAATAGTATAATGTTGAAAGTAAAATAATAAATTGAAATGTAAGAACAATATTTAAAGTAATAAAAATTACTGTTTATAATATATTGAAAACTAAAAATAAAAAAATAAGTAATTGCCTTGTTTATATAAAATAACAAATATATTATTTTATTAAATTATACACATAAAAATAATTGAATTATCTTAATTTAAAATATTTTCCTTTACTGCCAACGTTGGTTTCTATTCGGTACTCTATGTGGAGCTTTGGGTTATATTGGTGTCTTAAGTCCCCACATTCTCACCGGCCACCGCAAGTCCAACACGTTGTGCTTGTATTTAGTTTTCTCCGTGAACTGAACTATTAATTTTAATAGTTTTATAAACTGCACTAAAAATAATAATTTGGTTTAAACTATTAAAAAATAGTTTAGTTTATTTTAGTTTAATTTAGTTTAGTTATTTAAAAAGTTTAGTTTAAAGTAGTTCTGTGAACACCCCTAATAAATAGAGTATAACTAGAGAATTTGTAATTTTTGGATGTCTAAATAAAACTATTCATCATGCAAAAATAAGAATTGGCCCTCTATTGCAAGAAAGGTGTCTCTTCATGGTAATGTTTGTTAACGCTATGCTTTCATCTTGAGATGCAACTAGTTTTGTTTGATCCTACACATGCTTTTCTAAGATAATTTTGTATGTGATGGTTGGTTGTATGTTGGTCCTACTCACTTCTTTTCGAGTTGATTTTTGAGCATGGTTAGTTGCAACTCAATCCTACTCACGTCTTCCCATGCTACTCCATGCTACTTTTTTGCGTGTGGTGAATGGCTGCAAATTGGTCCTACACACATTTTTTTGAGCTGATTTTTTGCACATTGTGACTAGTTGAAAGCCAGTCTTACATGTTATTTTGAGTTGATTTTTGTGCGTGTTGGTCGATTTCAAGTTAGTCCTACACACTTAATTTTGAGTTGACTTTTCATGTGTCTTTTGAGTCAATATTTTGTATGTGGTGGTTGGTTCCAAATCGATCTTACTCACGTCTTTCTAGGTCAATTTTTTGTGCATGGTAGTTGTTGCAAGTTTGTCCTACACGTCTTTTTGAGTCATATTTTTTGTGTGCATGGTAACCAATTGCAAAATCTTACTCACATTTTTTTGGGCTGATGCACCACAATAAATAAAAAAATATAAAAATTATAAAAATAAATTAATAAAAAAAATATTTATCAAACTAAATAATTTTGGACACGTCGGATAAGAAGGAAAGAAGAAAACGTATAAGGAGTGACGATTTGTAGAAAACGCCAATCTGAGTGACGTTTTGTTACTGTTCACAAACAAAAAACGTCAAGGTTGTTGACGTTTTTCATACAAATTAAAAATTTCAAAGTCAAACGTAAAACGTAACGGGCTGGGCTTTGAAACACAACCAGAATGGCCCGTTCTGAAACTAGAACGACCCGTTCTTAGACCAGAACGAACCGTTCTGATTCACTCTTTGTGTGTTGCATTTTCATCTGGAACGGGCCGTTTCAGTTATAAATTTAAAACACAACTAGCGGGACCAGAACGACCCGTTCTGGTTTCAGAACGGGCCGTTCCAGGTTCATTAAAGAAGAACTACGAAAAATATAATTATATAATTTAATTCTTAAATTTTTTATTGAAATTTATTTATTATTTATTAATTTTATATATTATTTGAATTATATATAATTAATAATAAAATATAATTTATTTAAAATTTTTAAACTAAATTAAAATTATTAAAAAGTACTAAGATTTTCCTATGAGTTTATCCAAATCAGAATTTATGAGAACTAAAAGCAAAACTCATATTTGTTCTGCCTATTGGCACGTCTAGTGTGTTGTCATAAAAATGCCACATTATTAAAAAAATTCATCCCATTAATTGTTATATTATCAAATATTAAAATAAAAGATAAATTTTACTTTTTATCCCTATAATATTTAATTGCAATTTTGTTTCCTTGACTTATAATTGTATAAATTTACTCTAATTCTATAAACTTTACAATTTTTATCTCACTACTAAATGATTGTTCATTATCTCTTGAAATTATAGCATTAAAAATATCTAAATGATATAATAATTAAATTAAAACATACTTTCAATTTTTATTTTTATCTTATAATAAAATTAGGATAAAAATAAAAATTTAATATATAATTTAATCTAAATATCATTAAATATTAATTATCTAATCATCTACTTAATATATAAATTCATAATCAATGTTATAATTTTAATAGTTAATAGATAATATTTATTAATATATAATTTAATTAATTAATTAAAAAATTTCTTGAACTTGGAACGGCCCGTTCTGAAATTAGAACGGGCTGTTCTGATCCGCTAGTTGTACTTTAAATTTATAACTGAAACGGCCCGTTCTGGTTTCAGAACGGGCTGTTCTAGGTGTGTTTCAAAGCCCTTCACATTACGTTTTACGTTTGACTTTGAAATTTTTAATTTGTATGAAAAACGTCAACAGCCTTGACGTTTTTTTGTTTATGAACAGTAACAAAACGTCACTCAGAGTGGCGTTTTCTACAAATCGTCACTCTTTATGACGTTTTCTTCTTTCCTTCTTATCCAACGTGTCCAAAATTATTTAGTTTGGTAAATAATTTTTTTTATTAATTTATTTTTGTAATTTTTTTATTTATTTATTGTGGTGCATTTGCCCATTTTTTTTTAGTCAATTTTTTTATATGCATGGTGGCCTATTACAAGTTGATCTTACACAGATCTCTAGAAGTTGATGTTTTATGTTAGGTAATTGTTGAAAATTAAACTTTAATAAATTTCTAAATGTGCGAGTCCCTTTTGTTAGTAAACATGCTATTACAAAATCAACAAAATTGATAATTTAATGAAAAAATATATAATGACAAATGGGTAATCAACAAATATTTTTACACATCACTTTTTTTTTCACCATATAACTATACTATAAATAAAAGGGATAACCTTTTTTGGTGTACATAAATTTTGAACTAATTTATCAGTATAATTATTTATAAATTAGTTTCACTTTTATTTATTTATTCTCTCTTATTTTTACTTGATCGTGATATTTAACAATTTCTAAGCCTCTCACATTTTAAATATTATTTTTCTTTTTTTAAAATAAAAATGCATAAAATGCCTCTTTTTTCCTCTATCACATGATAAAAGTAATATATACATTATTTATTAAGCTTTAATTTTATTCATATGTATCCATTATTTTTTCCTTCACAAAGTACAAAATCCGTGTGTGTAATAAATAAAGCAAAATTATTGACTAGGAAAACCAAATGTAGAGTACTAATTTGTCGAA